TTTAGCAGATGAGTCTGGCGTGGATGTGCCCTATGGGGAGAAACCAAACTTCTTGAATTTCCCCCAAATTTCCCTTTTCCAGGGCCACGTATTCATTCCCCAGCCTGATGTTTAGGATGCCTGATCTGCAAGCCTGGGGAAGGAGTACCTTAGTAACAGGCCCCCACTTTCTGGGAAGCCACAGTAGGTCATTTCCTTCTGGGCACCCCCAGCCATACCCTCCTGTAAACTGTTTTATTTTCACACACACACACCCATTCCTTTTTAGGATATTTCTTGGTTTTCAATCTGGTTCTCCTTTCAGACTGTGAGTCTGTTGAAGTCCAGACTACATCCTGGTTGTCATTAGGCAGAGTGGCCAGAAAGGTGTAACCACCTGCTCTGCTGACGCTGCGAGCGCTGGTGCGTGCCGCTGGGGCCCTTTCCAGTTCAGGATCCCTGTGGCCCCTCTACTGCCTCTCTCACCGCATCACAGGACACCATCCACAGATTCGCACGTCCCCAACTGCACCCCTGGAGCTGTGAGAACAGCAGTTTCCTGGAGGGCCAGGTCCTCCTGGATTTTACATCTCACGCCTATATCTTCAACATCCTGTATATTCAAGACACTACAAAAGGTTTTCTGTATGAAAAGAGTATCATCTGAGGTTTCGGGGAGGGGAGAGAGGAAATACATTTTCTTGTGTACTGTACATAAGGAACTGCCTTCTGGTGTTTTTTTGTGAAGTCTGGGTCGGCCTGAATATTGTTACCAATAGCAGCAGGGATGATATGAGTGCAGATGGCTTGGAGCTTTAGCATTCAGACCCCTGGCTTCTCTTTCAAAAAGAGCCAGGGGCCTCTGGTTCTCTCTGCTAAGCTGCCTTCCAGGCTGCTGCTATTGCTTAAGGCTGTGCTGCAATCTGGAGAGCTCAGGAGTGGGAAGTCCAGAGTTCTCCCCGCTTCTGGGAACAGCCCCCCATCCCCCTCCCCGCATCAGCTTCCACAGGCCGCGCTCATGACAGTGGGTCGGTCTCACCCATGGATTTCACAAATGCCTGGCCTGTTCCCAGCACAGCACAGCTGGGAGGGCTCAGTGCTGGGGGAAGGAGCACCATCCTCCACCGTGGCCCCACCGTCCTCGGGCCCAAGGCCAAAGAGAGAGAGAGACAGAGAGAGAGAGACAGAGAGAGAGAGAGAGAGAGAGAGAGAGAGGAAGAAGGACTGCTCTTGTCCAGGCTTGCTGCAGCAGCCTTGAGCGGTAAACTCTGGCCTTCCCTCCCTACTGATTTCCTAGCTCTGACTTAGTCAAGGGACTAGGAGGAAATTCCCCATCCTGGAAGAGAGCTTGCCACCCCCCGCCAAAGGTAGCAGCAGGTGGTCTGGAGTCACCTGCTGAGATGATTATTCCGAGTCTAGGTCTATCCTCAGGTGGCCGATTCAGAACAGTGGGGGCCAGGGGAGAGGTGGGGGCCAGGAGTCAGCAATTTTACCCACACCCCAGGGAACTGGCCCTAGGTGACTTTGGTGCTTTAGGGGCCAGGTGGGGGTACTCAGCCCTGGATTCTCAGTTAGAGCCTCCAGCCCCATCCCCTTCTAACTAGCGCTCTGACCACAGGACCCTTCGAGAACTGTCCTTGGATTTCGGGCCTCATTTCTTCTTCATCTAAAATGGATGTTCTGACCCGGGGGTAGAATGACCAGCTGATCTAGTTTGCTAGACTTTCCGGGATAACGTGGTCACCCTACCTGAAGGAGGGGTAAGATCGTGCCTGTACCGTGTGATGAAAATGTGATTTGATGTGTTACTTCGGGACACAGTCTGTAATTATCTAATTTACACATTTACTAGTTAATTGTTCTGGCGCTCCCACCCAACCTCTCTCTGGGTGGCGCCGGAGAGCCAGGTCCCCCTAAGGGCCTTGTCTTGTTGGACCCTAAAGGCCTTGGGACAGGGTCCCAGGATGGAGATGGGGGGTGCTCCGCGGGCCTGGTGGGGGCCTCGGCTGCTCTGGGACAGGAAAACCTGGTCCACTCGAGGCCTGGGGGAGTGTCAGGTTTTTGAGCAGCCTCCTGGAGGGGTCAGTGACCCCCGGTGACCAATGACGGGCTCCCTCCGCCCCCACCCCAGGGAGGCGAGCCTGGCAGCCTCGCGGCAGAGTTTCCTGGCACTGAGCTGAGAATAAACAGCGCCCCGCGCCTGTAATCCCGTTGCCTCGGCGACGGCGCGCCACGGGAGGGGG